TGTCCCCAGTGCCTTTCTCCCTCCGTCTCCTCTCCCCCGGGCTCGGCGACTCAGCTTTGTGCGTCCCTCCCCGAAGTCTCCTCGCAGCCTCCCCAGACCTTTCCTGATAAACCTGCTACCTCTTGACCTGCCGGAGACCCCTCCTCCCGCCCAGCCTTTGTCTGCGGTAGGGTGTTGTCTAAATTTGCAACCATGCCTATACCAAGGGGAAGGCATCAGCTCTGCAGCTATGTTTTCTAGATCCTGCTTCAGTCTCAAAATCTTTTAAGAACTGGATGCTCAGCACACGACGTGTGTTTACTCCAGGGAGGGGGGCTCTCAACAGAAGCACAGATGGGTGATCATAAGTGAGTGCTAGATTCTAGTTGCCTGCCATCAAAATTTTGGATTTTTTTAAAAAATGAAATATCAAGAAATTTAAATTCAATTTACCGTGTTAGAACTGTCACTTGTAGCTAAAACATTGTGGATCTGTTGCCTAATTTTAGGCATTTAAAAAGCATGCAAGCCAGAGATCCACTGAAACATAGAGCACTACATGGAAATAAATAAAGATCAGTTTCCCATTGTGCTAGCTGTGTGTGCATCAAGCACACAATGCTCACTGCTTCTGTGTTTGAGATGGGTTTCAGAAGCTGTTATTAATAAGGTCTCAGATACATTTTGGTAGATTTATGGGGTTGCTGTTTTCAAGGAAATTTTCCTGAATTGTAATTCTCAAAGACCCCTGTTCCAACAGTAGCCTGCTATTATCCCAGGTAATGACGCTATCTGGATAATGACATTCATGTATTTACACTCACACAAAGACCAGGGGATGTGATTGGGTGTAACTATGAATGCCACAGTCCTAAAAATCCCCCTGGTTTGGGATTTCCATATTGTTCACATGTAGATAAAGACAATAACACTGTTCAGGATATATGTTTTCATAGAGTGGTGGAGATGGGACAGCTAATGAACCCTTTAAAAATAAGCTGGATGAAATATTCTTCAGATTTACTTAATGTCTTTGTTAGCTGTCTGTATTGTGAAGTTTTTCTAGACTGGAGGTTTTAGATCTGCTTTGATACATCTCAGTGAGCTCTGACTCCTGGTGGAAGTGGTTTCATTCAATGTTACTCAGAGTGTTACTTTTGGAGATAAATTGAAAGGCTAAGAATCTTCCTGAAACAGCAAGCAGCATAAGGTGATAGTTTACGTTGACACTTCTCTTTCCTTGAGCATGGGCTCCTGCTGCACACAAATCTGCTTTAGGCCTTTTTCCTTGTTTATTTTTGATAAAATATTTATTTGCATTCTGTGGGAGAGGTTTCAACAGCTGTGAAGTACAGCTGAGAACCTATAGTGCTACTTTGCAAGATTAAAGCTACACCTGTATAGCTCACTAACATGCATCAAAACACATCATCTTCCTTCTGGTTTGATATTTCTGAAAAAAATGCCAGATTTTGCCCTATTCTTTTGTTTAATGTTGCTGGGGGTGCACTGGGAATTTGATTTTGTCACCCAGGTACTTGGCTGCTGTTACTTTTCTCTTCTCTTGTGGCTCTTTGTGTGGTTCTGTGCTACATTTTGGTTATGCAGAGGAAGACTGCTAGGGTTTGGGAATCCTAGGGATATAATCTTCCCTCTTACAGCCTTTTCTTGTCAGGAGTTATTGTGTATTTTACACAGGAAAGGACTGTGGTTGGGGAGGGGGATTTTCCTCATTTTAAATTCTTTTATTTTTTATATAACTTTTCTCCAGTGGTTTCTGGTGACAGGCTTGGAAGGGCATTGAACAGAGCTTATTTTGGCATTCCCCTACCTTTCAGAAATTTGTTGTCAAGCATGTACCTTTGTGTGTCCTTGTATTCATGGAGCTAATAATTCCAGAGTGTTCCCAGCATATTCCTCCTCTTATGAGTTTATATGCTTCTCAGGCATGAAGAATAAGTTGAAAGTGTATGAACTGGAGGTGATATTTAGTATGTCAAATGACACTATAGCCTGGCTGATTTGATGTGAAAGGACTGAGTTGTACTGACAACACTAAAAGTAAAATATACTGCTCTATGTGTGGTGCATCTAGGCCAGACTGTCCCTGCTGAGGAGCTGGGAAGAAAAGTTCTCTTAAGGCCTGAAGGGGTATTTTTTTGCAAAAAGCATGTGTTTATGTAAGGGAGAGGAATGTGACCCAGAGATGGAGGATTGTTAGAAATGGGAAAATCCAGTGAAAATAGGTGCAGACATGCAGTAGTGTTGTATGGGTGTGGGGTACTGAGGGGGAAGAAACTATTGGGGAATCTAAGTTAGTTTATGGAGAGAAGACAACTGAATACAAAAAGGGGAATGATGGAGAAAGGAAGGATTAGGAAACCAAGAGAGGCTGAGTTAGGGATAGGCATTAGCTTCCTTGAAGCTCTGAAGCTCAGGGACAAATTCCTTGAGCCAAGTTCAGAAACAACCATGTAGCAAGATGATTCTTGTGCCAGAAGTAAGTAATGGGCAAAGAGATGCTGCTCCCATTTTGCTGGTTACCTTCCTTGCTCTCTCTGTATGGTTGTAGCTTTTTTTTTACATGCTTACTTGATGTATTTTTTATTAAGCAATGTTGTTATTTTTTGATTTTAGGAAATATAAATTCTTTAAAATGGATGGGAATGAGGAACAATTCATATATGCTCTGGGGTTCATTCCCCATGGTTCTTCCCCTCCCCTCCCCCAAAACTGTCGCATAATTTGATTTGGAAAGTACTTCTAATGGAGAACAAATTAAGGGGCACAGATTCTGTTGTTTTTACAAGAGGTTGTCTTGCATGGCCTGACCAAGCAGTTCCTCACCATGCTGAAGAGAGTGTGTTGCATAGTCTGGTGTTACCATGTGATGTAATTCTCATTTACAGTAATATTCACACCTGTCTTAATTGTTTGCTGTGATTTAATTAACTTTAGTAGATGGATGATCTCGTTTCAGTCTCATTTAATCAAGGGTCTCATTTGAAGGGTCTCATTTCAGTCTCAGGAGGGATATGTACTTTGACTGTAGTGTGAGCTCCCTGGTCATGATACTCATGTAACTATAGATAGATTTTTCCTTGCTCTGAGCTTTTATCTTGCTGTACTTGATCTTTTGAAGACCTGGAAGTATCTGCTTGTGTGTTTCTTAGTAAGATTCTAAAACAGACAGAAAAGTTGTTACCGGGATCTTTTAAGTCTTAGAAAACTGTGAGTAATTAATATTTGGCTTCTGGGTTGAAATGAATATATGGTTATTTTGGAAGGCTATTGGTTCTTTGCTGCAAGGTAGTGTTAGATAATGTGTCAGCATCTGTTACTTTAACAAAAGGAGTTCTCGGTCATGATGTATTCTTGTATGTATTAGGGTTTTACATTACTTACTTTTTTTTGCCTGAGAATGAGGTTCACATTTTCCAATTTCAGCAAACGTGATACAATTTAATCTTAGGTTGCTGCCATTGTTACATTGCTTTGAATTATTATGAAAAGATTTATCTATTAGGAGCCCTTGCCGAGTGCCATTGCGCCATGGGAAGGAATACTAATAAACAGTTACTTCCAGGAATAGCTATTAATCCTTCCATGTTTTTTTAAGACATATCTATTATGGTTAGAAGTCTTTATTTTTCTAGGTCTGACAAGCATGTCTTTTAGATCTGAAGCAGGGAAACAAGGGCACTAATCCCCAGGTCACAGTGATGCAATTCTAAAACGCTAAAATTTTAAACAGTGCTGGAGTTTGTGTCATTTTTTTCTTTGTTTCTATTCACTCAACCCCAACAAAGAAAAAAAAAGCCATGGAGAAAAAGGTTTTGTCTTTAAGTATATAATTATCAGGTAGTAAGGCTTTAAAATTACTTACCACTTCAGTATGCAAATGCTCAAAGGCATCTTACATTCCATAAATAGCAAATGCCACTACAGTTGGGTTTTCTGTCACACTTGTAGGTTTAGACCTCCAAAGAACTGGGTATTACTGGTGAGTTGATTAGCATGGATATTAAATACTTAAAACCTTGCAGGATTATAATCAGTTTGGGTTTTCTGTGTGTATGTATATATATGTGTGTATGTATATATATATATTTCTATGTTAAAACTGTTTGGCTTCATATTCTGGAAAGATGAGAAGCTATGCATAACATAATTGTAAATACGGAACAATAGCATTGTGTTAAATTGTGGAAGGAAAATAAAAGAGGGCTTCATCCTTCATGCCAGCCAATGGGAGGGAGGGGATGTGATCTGATGCTGTGTTCAGCACCTGAGTTCTGGACAGCGGCACTTGAAGGATCAAGGAATTGTACGTTCAAACTGTGGGATGGAAAGCAAATTAAACATTTTACTGTTGATCATGTTGATCATACTCCAGTGCCATGTTGGGATCCACTTGAGATTCTGGTATTTTATGTAATATTGTATGAACAATTACTAGGCCTGCTTCATAACAAGTAAAATAGTTTGCTCATATGGCCAAAATAAAATCTAAGCTTAAATAACAGTACCAACCAAATGTGTGTTATGGTCTGAGGAATTTGAAAAAAAAAATATTCTTAACAGTAAAATAATTTTCACACACCAAACTTATGAATTAGTTTTGATTGACTTAATGTCAAGAAGCTGGCATAGATGAAAAGAAACTGTCTGTGCATCTGTATTTTTCTGTGGATGTATATAACAGTTTGCAGTGTAATAGTATAGTTTGTAGACCAGTGAACTATATGAATATTAGTGAAATGAGTTGTGCCAGACTACATCATTAAAGAGAACATTTCTGCATTTTAAAAACATTTTGTCTGTGTACTTAACATGTTCCTGGAATCCACTGTGAAGATAAAATTCACCAAAACAGGTTAAAATGTAGTTATTAAAAAAGGAAGATAAAATTTTGTGTTCTTGTTTCAACTGTGGGAATTTTGTGTTTGGGGTTTTTTGGCTTCTTTTTGTCTTCTGAGCTAAATGAAATAACGAGCTTTTTTTTTTTCTTTTCTTTCTAGGGGTTGATACAAAATTAAAATTCACTCTTGAGCCATCTTTAGGTCAAAATGGTTTTCAGCAGGTAATTTGATTTATTTTTTTTCTTGAGTTTGTGAAGGAGTGGGTTCTCTGCAATCAAGGTGCTTGCGCTAGTTCAGAAGTGCATTTGTCATCATAATATCAGCATATTATTTGCAATTGCATCAAGAGCTGTTTAATTCATATTCAGAAAATGGAATAGGCTTTCATTGTTTTCTCAGATATTTCCTAAATCCTTGTGTCCTAGAATATTATACTTTAGTCAAATCGTCAAGTAATTAATCTGTATCTTCCCTCTGAGTGGATTAAGCAGTTAAACTCTGACATGTGTGCAGTAAAATGAAATGAATGTGCATGTCTGCAAGGTAGCAAATGTTGCTATGCTGTAGTATTAAACTAATGATGGATATTTTACATTTTGGGATGCTTTTTCTTTTAGTGGCATGATGCCCTCAAAGCAGTGGCCAGACTGCCCACAGGCATCCCAAAGGAATGGAGGAGAAAGGTAGGTAGATCTCCATGCTTTGTGGGCCATATTGCCTGTAGGTTTCTCAGGAGAGGTGAATTACATCAATATTTTCTGTTAGTAGGTTTTGTAATGAATATTTGGACCTTTTAAGTTGTACTGGGGATTTTTCCTTGTTTTCATTATTCAGTGACAGCCTCACAGGGCAGATGGAAAGGCTGAGGAGACAGGTAAATATGATTTTTTCAATAGTTGGGTTCTTTCTGCTTGAGGCTTAGGTAACTTATTCTGGTGCAGATGTTATTGCCTCATACTGTCAGTCTCAAGAAATTGCACTGGTGAAATTGCCCCCACAGCTGAAGATAACTGAAAGGAGAACATATCTGCAGTGTAGGATGTCACACTTACGAAGGTGAAGTTGATAGATGGTTAATGCTGACAAGAATGCTCATAGAAACAGTTGTTGGGGAAAAGACAGATTACCAAAATTAGGGAAGTTCAAAGTCAGGAGTGATGTAGAATGGCAGAGTGCAGCATTAATGGGAAATTGCACTGAGTATTGTAGAAAAGGGTCCATTGGGATTTTGCCAGACTTACTTTATTGCATTCTTCAACATTTGAAGTCCCCTAGTATAAAAAGGGGCATGTCTATTAATTTTTTCTTAAAAACTGAGTCACATAATCTCAGCTTTAAAACCACAGTTTTAATAAAAATAATATTTTTAAAGATTTATAAAATGTCGTTCCATGTATACTATATAATAATTAATTATAATGTAGAAATTATAAATTACAATTGTGTAATTATAATGATTAAATATAATTTTATATATTATATGAATTATAAATTATATAAAAATAATATAGTTCCACATATTTCTGATGTATCGGCTTAATTTCTTTTTCCTGTGTTTGCTGTCTTTCCAAACTGAACTCTACCTCTTTACAAATCAGGAGAGAAGGAAGAGAAGACTTTGTGGCATTGTTTGCCTCACACCACGATGAATTTATTTTTAATCTACAGCTTTGATGAATCCTTATGCCCATCTAACAGCCTTTTTTCTTTCCTGAAATATTCTTTTCTCACACTCCAGAAAGTGTCTCAGACACTTTTCTGTGGTACATGAGTGGCAGGGGTCACAGAATCTCAGAAGGGCTGAGTTTGGGTGGGACCTCTGGAAGTCATCTGGTCCAACCCCTCTGCCCAAGCAGGGCCACCTACAGCTGGTTGCCAAGGACTGTGTCCTGGTGACTTCTGAATATCTCCAAGGACAGAGATTCCACAGCCTCTCTGGGAAATCTTTGACAAACGCTCAGTTGCCCTCACAGTGAAAATGTGTTTCTTGATGTTTGAGGAGAACCTCCTGTGTTTCTGTTTGTGCCTATTATCTCCAGTCCAGTCACTGGTACAGATGACAAGAGCCTGACTTCCTCCTCCTTGCACCGTCCTTTCAGGTGTTTATACACACTGGTAGGATTTCCCCAAAGCTACCTTTTCTCCATTCTGAATGGTCCCAGCTCTCTCAGCCTTCCTGCATAGCAGAGATACTTTGCAACTGGGTGTCCCCAACATATATTGATTGGTGCTTGGGATTGTTTCTCCCCAGAGACAGGATATTGCTCTTCTCCTTGTTGAACTGAATGAGGTTCTTGTCAGACCATTTTTCCGTCCTGTCAAGGTGTCCTTGGGCTTGTCAGCCACTCCTCCAAGTTCTGTGTAATCAGCAGACCTGTGTGTGCTCTGCCACATCATGCAGCTCAGATCTGTCTTTCCTTTTCACTCTGCCCATCTCTGTGTTTGCTCACATGCTCGCATGATGCTAACCAAAGAAGTAGTGATGAAAAGAGATCTTTTTACTGCCATTCCCTGGTTCACAATGATTTTAAGGTAGATACCAAAATAGAGGAAGTATTTTGTGGTGGCAGTCTGCTGATTGCCTCCTTTGCTGTCAACAAAAGGAGCAGGTTGACATCTGCATTATTGTTGTGGCATGTGGGCTGGCAGAGATAAAGAATCCAGTCAAACAGCATCAGTAGGGTGTCAGCAGTGCTGAGGCTGTTGGGAGGCAGAACAGTGGCATTCATCCACATGAGTCGCTTCACAAAAGTGTAGAAAGAGACATTTAAATGCAGAAAACATGAGATTCTGTGAGCTGTCTATAAATTCCTTCATCATGCAGCTATCTCAGTGTTTAAATCTGTGGGAAGTGTCTACATTGCTTTTCTCACTTGAGTGAATTAATGGCTGATATAAAACTTGGCCAGTTTGCTTTCATGATTTCTTTCAGTTTCCTGAAAAAAAGGTCCTTTATTGTTACTTGTTGTCATTGTATGGTCTGTCATGTGCCTTTCATGGTTCAGGAAGTTTTCAAATTTTTAATAAAGGTCCAGCCTTTGTCTTGGATACACATGCATAAATCTGTTCTGGCAATTATTAGGCTCTAAAAGTCATGAATATGTTTGTTTCAGAACTCCCTGTAGCACCAACAGTTTAGGAAGCCCTCTTGTAAGAGTAAGTTGTTTTGATCCAAATCATGCTTTCAGATGAATCCCAAATGGTGAATACTAGATGCTGTTTGTTCCGCAAACTCATCAGAAGAGACTTCTGATAAAGAGAAGCACCAACACTGCTAGATTTCTTTTGGGAGTTTCCAGGAGACGTATCCATGGTTGAGTTTGAGGAAAGCCAGCAGCAGTGTTATCCTTTTATCAAACTCTTTGTTGGTTATGAGGATAGAAGATCTGAACTGACAGAGGGTCCTTGCCTTGTGTTTCCATTTTGGAGGGCTCCTGTGAATTCACTGACAGCTGACTTGCATCTTTGGAAGCAGCCCGCAGATCTGGATGTTTAATGCTGGCCATTTTCTTCCTTTCTGTCTTAGGGAGCAAGGTATTAATTTAATTGTGCAAAAATTGTTGTGGCTAAAATCCTCTTCTGCATATTTCAAATTTAACAGCAGATCACTTATGGGTGAAGCTGATAAGGTTCATCTAACAATATATATTGACACTTGATATTTTATCAGAGAAATAATTAATTTTGCCGTACGTATTTCTAGGTTTGGTTGACCCTGGCTGATCAGTACTTACACAGTATTGCCATTGACTGGGACAAAACCATGCGTTTCACATTCAATGAAAGAAGTAATCCTGATGATGACTCTATGGGCATCCAGATAGTAAAGGTAGCCAGCTAATTTGTTATTTCTTTTTTAATTCTTAGATGAAAAATTGACATTTGAATTTGGATTTATTTTCATCCCTGCAACTGCTTTAGCAAAAAATGTATCTTAATTCCCTTTGGCCCACCAAAGGTTTTTTTTTGGCTGCTTTGTTCCTTTTGCACTAGTCTGGTTAGTGTTGGCTGGGAAAAAGATGCTATTTCTGGGTTTTTGTCCTTTCATTTTTACTTTCTTTTGATTTCAAAAAAGTGCTGGAGTTAATGAAGACAAAGGAACATAAGTGGGTTTTTTCCTTCTCTGTAAATAAACACAAATGTTTTCTGGGAGTAAAAGCATATTCTAAAATACAGCAAATGAGCATTCTTCAGTTGTTTTACAGGAGTGAAACACATTTGCCTATTTGTATTTCTCAGCTGATTAATGTTTAATATTTAAAGCAGTCAGCCATTTTGTACATTTTGCCTTTCACTTGTAAATCAGTTAAATTTCAAGGACAGTGTCTGGCTTGTGTGTTTGGAAAAGTCAGTTATCTACTAGTTCTTCTATACTTTGATAAAAACAGGTGCTCTTTTTTGTTCAATTAAGTAGCTGTTGTGCCTTGCCTGTTTGAAACCCAGAGATTTATTAACATCTTCTGTGGCAATGCCTTATAAATATCTTTTAGGGGACTTGTTTACTTAAGAGCTTGCTGAAACTATTTCTTTTGGGCAAGATAAAGATTTAACAGATTAAAAAAGAAACATTTTCATCAACTTTGGGAGTATGTACTGGGAGGGTGGAGATGGAAGGAAAACTGGGACAGGAAAGAGATCTAAGAGGGGACGGAAAATACACATCTTTTCTCTGCTTGTCTTGTCTTTTTTTTTTTTTTTTTCCTTTAAAGGACCTTCACCGAACTGGCTGCAGTTCTTACTGTGGCCAGGAGGCAGAGCAAGATCGAGTGGTACTAAAACGTGTTTTGCTGGCTTATGCCAGGTGGAATAAATCTGTTGGCTATTGCCAAGGATTTAACATACTAGCTGCACTTATTCTGGAAGTAATGGAGGGCAATGAAGGGGATGCCCTGAAAGTGAGTAATTTTTTTTTTCCAATGTTGAAAATTGCTTTTACTTAGTGAACTTTAGAATAAACTAATGTATGAATTTTGTATACAGACTAATGAACACAACTCAAAAGAGTTAGCTGATTTATATTGGTGAACTTTTTATTTTGTTATCCTGTCTCAGCTAAAATGAATAGTTTGAATGTTACCAGTGTTAAATTTTTTTTTGAAAAAAAAAAAAATGCGACCACTGCTACTTACTATAGGATATCTTATCCCATAACCCCAAATCTGCTTGCAAACACTATAGGTAGCTGAAGTATTAGCATTTCATGATCAGCATCTTATGTGGCAGCTCCATGTGAGGCAGCTGATAAATTGGCTACATTTCGAAGCAAATCCTAGGGAAACACTAAATATTCAAAATGAACATAAGTCACTTTGAAGCTAATTTCTGGACTACATTAGTCTTGCTGTGTTTTTTTTTCTTAGATGGCTTTTATTTTAAATAAAACAAAGCTTCATGAAATTTATAATATGTCAGAAAATGGAAATACAGTTTACTGGACATGGTTTAAGGTTTGGTAAGATCATGTGCAATTTCCTTAAATAAATTTGCTCATATGTGTGAGTTGGGTCAAATTAATAGAAGATGACTGTGACTCTTCAGATACCGAGCTGTTTATTTTGCTTTAGACAATGATTTAAATATGGTAAATATTTAAATTCACTCCTAAATAGTGCTCCTATTATTATAGAGCTCCTAAAATATAAAGCTTGTGGCAGTAGATGATATTTAATCCTTCATTCTAGACAACTGCCTGTAATAGGAAAAAAATACCATAATATAGCAACTTTATATCAGAAAGTAAAATTTCCTTTCAATAATTCTTGCTTAAGATTTCCTCAATATTTTAACAGTAATTTATTGCATTATCCTATAGGAAATAGGATTGCCCAAGGTTTATGAAGTCCAAGTTGATGACAAGAACTGTGTGCATCCTTGTGCTGTCTGTTATTGTGAGTTGTGTCAGGCTCCTTGTGTGGAGGAGACAATAAATGGAGCCAGACTGCCCCAGGGAGGTAAAGCCCTGAAGGCTGTTTGCACCAAAACTGGTCTTACCTGGCAAGAATAAAAATGGAAAAAAAAAAATTATTTCTTTTCCAAGCTCAGTGTGAGCTTTGCAGGGTTGGAATTTTCCCAGAAGACAGAGGGAATAGGGGAAGGGTAAGGAAAGGAGCAGGGTGGGTGGGAGGAAATAAGAATTTGGTATTAGCATGTGATGGTTTTGCTGTAGTCACTGCCACCTAAAGCAAGCAGTGAGTGAGAAGCTACAGAGGCCTGTAAAGGTACCCTGAGGATTGTAGCTATGGGGTAGCTGTGCTGGGGTTATTGTAGAATCTGGGAGTTAAGGGAGCAAGGGTATCCTTAGGTCTTGCCAGTCAGGTCCCATTTCTGGGGAGGACATTATAAACAAAAGCTCTGTGTCTGGAAAGCATCTCCCAGGGGCTAGGAAACAGCAGGTATTACTGATGCCAAGGGGCTTTAACAGCACAGGACCCAACATGGTAGCTTCAGTGAATGCCCAGCCAGTGATACTTGAGTGTTAGCTAGTTAAGGTAAGTATTATGTTAAATCCCTGGAGTTGCCTCAAAGTTAGCCTACAGAAATTATGGTAAACAAGAAAATCCCATCTTGCATGAGTAGAAGCTATAAAAGTCTCATAGATATTGAAACATAAAAAAAATTTTCTTGCATGTTATTGCATGGAAATGCTACAGAATCAAATAATAAAAATAATTTGTAGAGATGTGTTACGAAGAAAGTATCTATTGCAAACTGGTAAATGCATGAACTGCTTTTTTTTTAAAAAAAAAGTCTTCTCAAAGCAATTCACATGTTGGTGAAACAGAATGAACTTCAGTGTTGAAAAAGACTTCTGTTCTTCTCTGTGCTCTCATATATCAGAGATCAATGAAGTAATACTTTTCAGTGGGAAGGGAGCAAAGGCCTCTATAGAAGGGTGTCTTTCACATGGGGGTTTATAGCTTATGTCATAAGGAATTAATGAAAACACAAATGGCATAATTGTACATTAATGTTGCTATATTAAGTTACTCTTCCATTGTTTGAAATATATCTAAACAAAATTAAGCATATTTTCACAAGACTGTGGGGTAACCCACTATTCAGCAAAGGTTACATAATGCATCTGACAAAATACATGTAGAAGCTGTTGATTTGCCTTTGTTGACTACTGTTCCACATGCTTTAAAACATGGAACATAAGACTGCTATTGCTGGAGAAATCTTTCAAGGACAAGTGGCAGTATGTGGTCACAAGCAGCTGGGAGAGAAAAGAGAGCAGTAAGGCTCTGTCAGCTGGTGCTCTTGGCAGTCCTGTGTCTGAGAAGCTGTTTCTGTGGGCCTCTTATGAAAAGAGAGGGATTGGAAGGAGGACTGTCTCCTGTATGTGAAGGTGCAATGCATCTCTTGAGAATGAAGATCTTTATGAAACATGGTAAGGATGCTCATATGAGAGAAATGTAGAAGAGATACAGATGGGATTGACTGCAGGCTCTCTGGATGTGGTTAGTAGAGTGGCCACAGAGATCCTAAAAGATCCTGAAGTGAAGGGTCAGTGTCTTCTGTTAGGCTGATGATAATCATCAGCTTCTGCATGTTTTTTGTTGCATTTCTTCATTCTCAAAAGTTTGACAGTATCCATTTAATTCCTTACCATCCATGTAGTTGAGCTACCTCACTTGAAACAGATGTCTGCTTAAAATGTCTCACGCTGCTTAATTTAGCACCTTCTAAAGTGACAAGATGGAGTGCAGCATATGGTAACAAATCACAGTAAAATATATGGAGAATTTCTTTTTAAAGAACAGTGCCTTGCATTTTGGAGAGGCAAAATAGGGGATTTGCAAAATCAGTCTTCTAGTTGTGGCATTAACCAGAGAAGGGATAGTGAGACTCTCCAGCAGTGGAGAATCTCATAAACAGTTCCAACATCAGAAGTGTCAAAAATTGTTTTTGGTGGGGGTAATGCTGCCAGCTTGGGCATAGCTTACTGTGACATTGATTTCAGTCATTGATTTCAGTCATTTCATGGTTCATAAATTCTGGACAGTTTCAAGAGGCCTTTGTACCTTGAATGTTTGTGGATATCTAGGATACCTGAGGATGCTCAAAGTGATAATATTTTTTCCCCATATAAATGGAGGTGCCATAAGCATGTGTTGCCACTGGCTCCAATTCATTCTTTAGTGAACAGAGAAATTTTATTTTTCTGTAAGCCCTAGAAAATAACTGCTCTTTAAGTCCTACATGATAGTCTTTCATTCTGCCCACAGATCATGATTTACCTAATTGATAAGGTGCTTCCTGATAGCTACTTTGTCAATAATCTCCGTGCTCTCTCTGTGGATATGGCTGTTTTCCGAGATCTTTTACGAATGAAGCTTCCTGAACTGTCCCAGCACTTAGACACCCTGCAAAGAGCTGCTAACAGAGAAAGTGGAGGTATGTTCAACAGAAAATGCTGTTCAACTCTGTCATGCTGTAGTTTCATCTGAGCACTGGTTTAAAAATACAATATTTTAAGTGTTTACATGAGTTTATTGCTTAGAATATGTATTTTAAATTTTTAAGATGAAATATGATGGTTTCTGTTACTGATAACCTGAACATAAATAGGTGTACTTCCAGGAAAAACAAAGGGAAAGAATTTGGTCCCACCAGTAGCTGCAAACAGAATTGTGTTGACAAGAATATACAAAGCATGGAGTGACAACACTAACACTTAGCTTTGTACAAGGGCTGTCTTGGAAAGGTAATTTCTTGCCTTAGCTCAGGATAGGTGTCTTCCTACTGCTCTGTGTAGTTGCTGGCTCATATAGCTATTCTGGGAAGAGTTACAGTGTGAGAGCCAGTGAGGGCTGCTTAGTGTTTCTTCACCTGGATCCTTATCAACAGACAGGTACAAAACTCAGAAGTATATCTTAGGTTCCTACCTGAAAACTGGCTTTGCATTGTGATTTTTTTTTTCCCTGGCATAGCATTCTGTCCAGACTTACAGCTCTTTTATTTAGGGATGTTCTGGGAAGGGTAAGAGGTTTTTTGTTAGTTGATTTGGTTTCTTTTTCAGTTGGGAAGCTAAATGCACCCTGAGTTCCACCTTAGAAAAGATCTGCTGCTATGTTCCATATGTCTATGCCCAAACTGTATAAAAAACAAACAAACAAACAGTATTTGTTTGTTTCAAGGAAATACTTACTGTTTGAAAGTGTTTTCACAGGCTGGCCTCTCTGGTGATGGCCTCCAGTGCATCAGTTGATACTGGGATGCACAAAGTGTTCTCTGAGCATAACGAAAAAGTAACATTTTAGAGTTTCAGCCTGAAATACTACATTTTGTTTGAAACTTAACAAGTACACCAGGGTATTAAAATAATAGATATGACTTTACGAGACAGTCACCTTATCACCATGTAGATAAAGACTTACGCCATCAGTCGGCGAAAAAATGCAGCATTTTGTGGGGAAGTTGGTGGGTTTGGTTTTTCTTTTTGATAGAAGCTTTTATATCATATGGCTTTGGGGAAAGAGAAACAGTCTTTCTGAAATAAGGGAGAAAATGTGGTGGTGTATTCCAGGGTTTATAGTCCAAAGCCAATGATGCTGCTTAGTTTTTTGCAGTGCAGCATAATGGAAGGTGATTATGTAATTTTTCCATTGTTCTCAGTTTATCTTTGGACAGCTGCAGGCTGAGTAAGTTTTGAGCAATAACAGAGGTGCTAGAATGTCTGGTGTATTTTACGATGCAGTTTATACTCCTTGTAAAATGATAGTAAATTGCAGTTACTTCAAGTAACTTGTTTTTTTCTTGTTTGTTTTTTTAACTTCAGGAGGCTATGAACCCCCACTTACAAATGTCTTCACAATGCAGTGGTTTCTGACACTCTTTGCCACCTGTCTGCCTAACCATACAGTTCTGAAGATCTGGGATTCAGTATTCTTTGAAGGCTCTGAAATTATACTGAGAGTAGCTTTGGCTATCTGGGCAAAGCTAGGAGAGTAAGTGATCATTTTTACCTGATTTTTCTTTTCAGTATGAGCCATGTTTAACTTTTGTTTTCTTTAAGATGTTCTCAATTCTAAACAAGATACAATCTTTCAGGAAAAAGATTGTTTTGAAAAAGCTGCAAAAAGGACCTTTATGGTTTCTTAAAAACACGTGATTCTGACATTATGTCAGAGTGGGCATTATAATTAATTGACCCTTTTTGGAGAAAATGTCTCCAGTTGCTGGAGTTGTCCGTGTATTTTGTCTTTATGCTGTGCTAAAAGGTTGGACTTTCCTGAACATAAACTTCTGAAGGAAGTGGTAAATACTCTGTATAAAGACAGATTAAGAGATTTGAGGGTGACCAACTAATTTAGTTGGGTACCTGAAAGTGGGGATGTTAATTTCCTTAGTTTCACTTAAGGAGACTTAAGGATTTGAGCCCATTGGCTTTGCCCAGTACAAGAGTTCAGTGTTACTAAGGGAATGACCCTGTGGTACGTGAGTCTTTTCTGTTAAGGCCTGAAAATGAATTTTCCTGAAATTCTCTGCTTTTCAGCACATTCCAGCCAAGTTTCCATTGTAGTCCTTTGTGGCCTTGGAAATTCACCACATGGCCAGAACACAAGAGGCGGTTAGTTCTTCAAACCTCTCTGTTGTCAAAGCAAATATTTGTGTTCCGAGGAGTTTACAGTGCTCCCAGAGAAATGAGTTTTGTCACTGGCTTCAGTGGGAGGTGTGAGCTCTGACAGGTCAAGCAGATGTTAGTTCAGCTGGAAACATTTTTCAGCTGGCATCAGCAGCTGCATCGATTTTTTTTCTTGTGATAGCTTTCTTCAAGCCTATTAAAACTCGTCTTCCTTTTTTCTCTGAAATTGAACCAATGGGATTTATGTTCAGTCTGTCCTTGGAAGTTTCATTTCCTTTTTTCTTTCTGAATAAATTAGCACTGCAGGCCAGTTGCATTGTAAGAGGATTTGTTTAGTACATTTAATTTTTAATCTGAAGAGTAATAATTAAAATAATAATTTCTTGAGAGCTTTTTTATATTCAGTTCAGTTCAATGAATGAAACTTGCATGAATCATTTGCATTGGGATTAAGCTGTATGTAGACACATAGTGTTTTAGATAAAAAGTTCTTTCAGTAGATCTCTGTACACTTAAAAGTTATAATTGTGAATGCTACAACTCATAACATGATAAAAAGGAAATTGCTACTTTGAAGATTTTACCGTAAAACTTAAAGAAAAATTAAACATGTTTTAAGAAATTGAAAGGAACAGAATCAAGAAATATATAAGAATGTGTCTAAGAGAAATAAGCTGATCACTCTGCATGTCTTGCAACTGTTGTTTGTGGGGAATGGGAGAAGGTCTGGTAAAAGACAGGGCACTGTTTATGATGGGAGAAGATGGTGATATTTTTACTTCTCTTTGTCCACCATTAGAACTAGAATGGGGGATTTAAAGAGGTGGGGCCAGAAATAGTGTTCATAGTCTCATGATCTTCATACTTCTCAAGATTCATTCTCAAAATGAAAATAGGGTGAGAAGTGCATTTTTAAAATGTAGGTGGCTCAATTGTACTTCTGTTTTGAGGGAGGCTGAAGGAATGGGAAGTTAAATATAGGGGCAGTAGAGAAAGCAGTATGTGGAGGTCATGAGAGACTAAAGGTAGCAGGGCAGGTAAGCCATAAGTTTGTGATAATTGGCTACATACCCACTGTTTATACTACTTTTTAAGGTTTTCTTTAGCTATGTAATCATTATTTTACCCAAACCGTGTTAAGACTTCAGGAGTTTCATAGCTCAATGGTTGTTATGTGCAGTTGCTGAAGATCAAGGGAAGCTGCTTTTTGTATTGCTTAAGAAAAAAGGCAGTGTATTTTTTTTCATGATTCCAGCATCTGGGTTTTAGAGGAGAGGCTACAATATGTAGCCATCAAAGCACTTCCTTGGGATATAAGAAAAACAAATTTCTCACTTGACAGGAGAGATGTTTAGCAGCTGACCCTAATGTGTGTAGAACACCAATTCACAAAAGCATATTACTCATATTTCTTTTCCTCTAGATGACACTCTCTGTTTTTAGAATGATTCTGTGCTTTTAGAAATGTAAAGAAAAGTGCAGAAAAAGTATCCAATTGAACCCCCTTCCCAAAACAAGGCAAACAAAAGCATCCTACCAAAGCAAACAAACAACCAAAACCAACACTCTTCCCACCCCTAATTTAGAAATAGCATTCACAAATATGACGATTGAATTTTCCTGCATTGTGCTTTATGTTAGCCTAATTATTTTTTAACACAATTACATGTATGAATGCATCTATACTAATTTATTCCACAGGAATGGTTTCTGGCCAGTGAATATCGTCCTGTCTGACAAAGTTCAGACAGTGAATTTGGCCATTTGGTGCATGGTGAAGAATGAGTGATGAGGTAGTCAAGAAATCTTTATGCTCCCTTTTTGAGCTGATAAGAGAACCCCCTTGTGCTATTAGGAGGCAAAATGTATTGATTCTTGTGCTGCAGAATGAAAGGGGCAGAGGGAATAGCCTGTCTGGAGATACATTCATCTGTTATCATGAGGAGTCAGGACAGCAGGCTGTAGTCAATGCATCTTTTTAGTGCTGCAGCTTTTCCAATGTTGTGTGCATAGTTTTATTGTTTGGAAGTCTAGGCAGAACTGCAAATAAACTTAGAAGTTAAGCTAACAGAAATGTATATTTTATGATGACAAGAAGATGAGTTTTGTTTTGAGCATGTAGAATCATATGTAAAAGTCAAATAAAAACTAACATGTATTTTGATGTAGGCAAATTGAGTGTTGTGAAACTGCAGATGAGTTTTACAGTACTATGGGCAAGCTGACTCAGGAGATGCTTGAAGACAGTCTGATTGACAGCAATGAACTTATGCAGGTGAGTAATTGTAACATAATTAATTTTTGTGTTTTCTGTGTTGATTTCTTGATTTCTAACAAATTACATTTTTCTTCAAATACTGCAGAAACCTAAATTCTCCCAAGAATAAAAGTTCCAGATAACAGAGTTGAGCTAGCATGTCAATGAAACAAGTAGGTGACCTGCAGTTAGGGCTAGAATCTTATTTTTATATGAAGTGTAGAGAACTACTAGGTGTCATTTAATAAAAATTGATTCTATGTTGACAGCTGAGTCTTTTGGGATATGATGCTCAATTTGATTTACACAAGATTAGTCACCATTTCTAGGATGTTTAGTAGTCACCATTTTTAGGGTGTTCTTTGCCTTATTTTTATGTTTTGGTCAGTTTTTTATTACACTGTGTCCTTTCCATTCTGCAGACACTGTGGGAAATAAGGGTTAATGAAGTGAGAAGTGTAGAAAAAGTCCTTAATGATTTAAAAAAACCCAAACCATGAACAGTCAGTAATGTACTGTAAACAAAGACATTTGTAGATAATTGAATTATCTTCTCATTGTGTTTCAGTTCCTGGTCTCCAGTGTGGTACAAAATCAAGATGTGGCATTTGTGAATAAGAATAATTTTGGGGAAGTTGAGGTGGTCTTTTGTGACTCTGTGGATTTCTTTCTTTGTTGCTGTGTGTAATAGGAGATAAGGCATGGGTTGGAGGGATATTTTTTTTAACTCTTGCAACTACAAATACTAGCAAATTAGCAATCTTTTTGTGCTTCAACAAAAAATGAGTATTTGTCACAATAGATATGTGTGTTCATAGTGTATGTGGGTATTTTATGGCACTGACAGGAGTGTTAAGATAGGATAGCATTGATATGGAGAATGTGGCCGGTTTAAGTTCTATGTATGGAGGAACAGTGTGTCTGGTTTATGTGTGTCCTCTCTGTTGAAGAAACCACAATATAGTTTGCATAGCTTTCTTCAAGTCAAAGGCAGGCACTGGCAGTGTAGCCATCTCTGAGGCCTCCACTCTTTACCCTAAGTGGAAAGAATAAGGAACTACAAGAGTTTACCATCAGGGCATATAAGTGCTACCATGTATGTGGTTGGAGAAAAAAATTAAGAAATATGAACCATTGCATTAATGAAAAGATCCAGGCTGCTCGAACATGCTTCTTTTTTAAATTGCTTTAAGTTTTTTCAGAGGAGTCATCCAGAGATGCTTTGTTTTCATTTTCTTTGCTTTTTCCCTAATAAAAATCAAAATTATTAATTTACATCTAATATTTTTTACAAGATGGCTCAAGGACTAGTATCCTACTGTGGGGAAAGGATTATAATATCCCACTCTGCCTTCCCATCGCATTTCAGAAGAGCTCGCTGGTGGCAATCATCTCACTTCTCTTCAGACCTGCATAACACTTATAGTTGCATCTAAACTGCTTGTCCAGGCTCACTTAAGCCAGCCTAACAGGCACTTCTCAACCACTGAAAAACAAATTGTGCTCTAAGAGCCTCGTTTCTTTTAGGAATTAGAGGAGGGAGGTACAACTGATCCTTCAAGGGAAGTGTTGACAGAGCAGATATCTAAAGTAGAACAAGGGGACTCATGTCCTCATTCTTTCCACCAGCATTTATAGGTGCTGCAGTTTTATTGCTCCCATGCAGACAGTACCTATAGTTAGGGTGGGAGCCTTAAAGCTTTTGCAGATTTGGCTCTTGTGTGACAAAAGTTCTTAATGTTTTTACTGAGGCATGAAGGCATTGGAGGAGCAAGCCAGCCTACAGTTTCTTCCTTTTTCAGATTGAACAGTTTGGGTGAATAAAGGGTAAGTGCTGTACACATCAGATTCTAGGCTGGGTATGTATTGGTTCCAATATGGAGACAGAAGGCTGTAGTCAGGTGTCTGCAGATATTCTAAACAGAGTGTGCTAGACTGAGTCTGTGCTTCCATGCCTTGTCAGAAAGTGAGCACTTTTATAACCAGCTAAACTGATTCAGTTTGTACACCCAGAAACACTGCAGCACAGAGGAGATGAGCAGCCAACTGGAGGAGAGGCATCCCTTTGTATTTACTAGAACAGAGGGGAACAAGGATTAATCCTTCTGTGGTACTCTAGCATTTTGGACCATCTGCCGAGGCAGTTGCCCTGATTTGATGGTATTCACTGTTAACTTGCTACTTAAGTAGCACTTTGTTTTCTTTTGGGTTTGTTTTTGATTTTGCTTTTTGTTTTGTTTTCTTAGTCAAACTGAAAAGAAAGAATATCCTTAAACCAGTGGGGGGCAGCTATGGAGATAAGTAATAAGTTGTCTGCAAAATGGCTTACCCTGTTTGGAAGCCACAGCCCATCACCTCCCATATGGTGTTCTGCTGAGGGTGTAGACAGCTTTGCATTTTTAGAGTAAGGAAAAGGATTGTCAAATGATTTAAGGTGAGAATAGAGGGGGTTTTGTCCTTGTCTCTTTTCTTGTTCCCAGGATCTGTCCCTTATGTAAATAAGATGCTAAGTTTGGCTGCATCATGATTTTGTGTGTAGGCTATTTCTCTCTGGGACAGTTCCCCAGAATTAACCAAATGGCATCCAAGGCTGTGTAATGACTAGAAAAAGAATGCTTTGACTCTGAATTGTCGCTGGGAAGATATCAGAGATGTTGGCTGACGATATTTTTTAAAATTTCCAGTGGAACTGGCACTGGCATAAAATTTGTTTTGTGGATCTCTTGGCCAGGTGGTAAGCAAGGCCTGCAGTTATAACCTGATAACAATAGTTAAGCTAAAATATGTATGCTAAATGAAAGAACCTGTAGCAGATGTGGAAGAGACACAGATTGGAGACAGGCAAAAGCTAAAAGTATAATCTGAAACAGTAGGTGCAAGGAGCAAATGGAGGAATTGGAGTCGACTGTTTCACTTAAAGGGTAACTAGCATATGGAACAAGTTACCTGAGAAGGACATTGACATAAGGAGTAGAAATAAATTCCAGACAAACCTCTGGAGAGAGTTGAAACACATGGAAAAAAATAAAACCTAACAGGAAAGAATGGTGGAGATCAAACAAGCAGGCAGACATGTTGGGCTGGAGGTAGGTCTTTCTCTAGATCATAAAATCCCTTTGTCTGGTAGACCAATGGGAAATCACTGTTCAGGCCCTAGGGAATATTTATCTTTCACAGTAGCACTGTAGTTTAATGGAGTGGCAAAACTTCAGTTCATGCTATGGATTTTTGAAGGCATCTTCCTTTCCTTAGAGGCTGTGCAGGGCTTGAACTGTGAAAGCATTCTCACACAGAAGTCTGTTGAGGGGCACTATTGCCCTGTCTCTGAATCAGAGGGGACTGTCCTTCCTACTCCTCAGTGCTTACATCATTGCCATTAACAAAACTTTTTTCCCTCCTTATGGCAGGAAATGTCTAATACTGAATTCATGTTTGCAATTTTCCTCAGTGTACTTAGCATAGACAAGGCATGGTTCAAGAATGGATTGTGTAGAAACTGTTCAGAATTTCCTTTCATCTTAATTGAGGTCATTTGCCTTCAGATGAAAATGTCACTGACTTAAAAGCACAGGGAAAAAATATATAAGTGAAGATTTACTGTCATAGCTAATGAGAAAATTTTATGTTGCTGTCTTTCAAAAGATATTTAATTTTCAGGATGTGGAAAAGCTTTAATATTTCAGAGAAACTATGGGAAATTACATATATATTTTTTTCTTCTGACATTGAGACTCAGAATGAATTATTTGGCAGTTATTTGAAAGTTCTGAATAGTGAACAAAAGCAGGGGGAAAAAGGCAACTAAAGTATGTAGGAACAAATCAGCAGTGATACTGCAATGAATGTGATATGTCTTTATGCCAGGTGGGCTGGTGACTTGCAGCAAAAATAATGCTAAAAGGAAATATATTTGCAACTATGTATCTTCTTAAATTCTGAGTATTGATGTGAAGAAAATCTATTAGCATTTTAGAAAAACTACTACCTTTACCCCACCAAATCCCACCTTTAGCCTCAATACCAACCAGCAATCAAAACTAGAAATTGAGGGAAGAAAACTTGGATCCTTCCTCTTTAGTGATGATTTTTGGCTGACGTGATTTCCTCACACAAGCTCTTGAGCTTCTCAGGTAAAATAATGAACCAGCTAACAGTCCACATCAACTGCCCCTTCCTATCTGTGCTAGTGCTAATACTTTGTTGAATACTTGAGCAAAAACTTAGGTCTCCTGGAAAGACCCCCAATTCCTAAATGATGCTTTCATGTAAGTGAAATCATAATTGGAGGAGGATTTCTGGTGTGATGGCAAGAAGGGGTTGACAATAATTTTTAAATGAGTATAGGAGTTGTAAAGGATCCTACAGCTCATGTTATCAGTTCCTTTTTTTTTAAGCAGAACTGTATCTTTCTAGTGAGTCAGTCTCTATTTTTCTTACAGGAATTACTGACTGAATAATTAAACTAGACCGTTTTCTTACAGCATGTGAATGTGCAAGAATGTGCAGCCTTTAATCCTGCAAGACTGTGGAAGTCTGGTTATGGAGAAATCTTTTGTGAGACTGTTCATTAAAGCAAAAAGTTTTTAAAGTTGCTTTTTTTTTACCTCCAGACTGTTTACACCATGGCTCAGTTTCCTTTCCCACAACTGGCAGAATTGAGGGAGAAATATACATACAATATTACTCCTTTCCCTGCAGCAGTAAAATCAACTTCATTTTCAGGGTAAGTTTGAAATGCACTGCTTATGGTGTATAAAGTTATTGTTTACCCTTTGCAGATGAAAAGGCAGGTGGATCCTCCCTTGTATGCTTCTAAAAAAGATAAAAAAATGCTTGGTAGTGTTCACATTTAATAACGTACCTTCCTTAATTCTCTTATGTTCTCTTTTGACAGCAGGTTAGGCAGAACCAGAGACAGTGATGAAGAGAATGACTTAGATGATGAAGACTCAATTGCTAATGCAATTGGTTGTCTTGGACCATTAAGTGGGTTTTTGGCACCAGAGCTCCAAAAATACCAAAAACAGATGAAAGGTAAAAGTGACTTCTTTAATTTTGGAAAACACAGTTAAATCTATATGACCTGGCAGAAATTATCTGCAGTTCTGTCTGTGAAAGCTGCTATGGAAGATGTGTTTTCTATGCACACAGAGGTTACAGCAGGTACCAAATGACTTGCTCTGTGCCCCATGAAGATGTTGTCAAAGCCAGGTTGGAAGGCTGTAGGTGTACAGTAAATGATGGTGTGAGTTAAGGATTTGGCCACAGTAATAGTAACAAAACAAGCCCATAGTGTTGCCGAGACACAAAAAAAGAACCATATTTGAAAAAAATTCTACCCTAAATCCATGCATATTTCTGAGACAGCTGTTAAGTAGTCAGCATTTTCTGAAGGGTGTTCCTTTAATAAATTATCTTGACATTTATTAACATATGCATGGCTAATACTGGAACCTATCAGCAGTGAGTGAACTCTGCAGGTGATTTCACTGCCCTTTTGGCCAAACTTCCAGATTGTTGTATGTTTTGGATATATTCCAAATGTCACCATTTTCCAAATCCTTCTGCATGGAAATTTCTTGACAGAATTGTATGAACACCGGTGCAAATTCTCTATAAGCAGTACAAAATGCTGATCCATACAAGAAAAGTAGTATCCTTTATGAAATGGTACTGCATCAACAGTGATTTCACAGTATCTTGGGAGAGGCCATTTTTATTTATCCCCAACTCAGCACCACCTTACCCTCAAAAAACCCCAGACTGATGTAACAAGTTGCTGTTCACGCTTCATCATTCTTGTGTCTTGGTTTTACTGAGACCTGTAAGATGCAATTTTCCTTGCTGTGGTGTTTTGTTTTTCCCTTCCTGGGGGACTCTTTACCTGCTGCTTCAAACTAGTACTTAGTCAGAACATCAAGCTGCTGTTGCAAACTAAGCCAAAGACAAATAAACATTCCTTGAAAAAGAATTATCCTCCTGACCCTGTAGTGCCAGGTTGGTGCATCAGAAACAGCTGTGAAAATAAACAGCTCTGCTGCTAATGCTCTGCAGCTGTTGGTCAGAGACACTCTCAAGTTGTCTGATCCTCAGCTGCTCTGTGCCTATCCTTTTTGTTGCTACTAGCAACTTTCTCCCTGTGGTATTGCTTCTTGCTGGTAGCACTAGGTTGGTTGTTTAATTTCATGCCTGCTTGACTGTAATGTATTTTATAACTTGCATTTTTGGCCTCTACAACAACCAAATATCTTTCATAATCTGTTATTGAATTACTTCAGTGGTGGCTCAATGTACTTTTGGATATTTGAAAAGCTATGCTTACAACTTTGGACTGCCATGTTAATTGACTTTTGTACTCTTTAACCTCCCTTCAAACCCCTGATATTCTTAAGCAGTAGTGCTATTTATAATACTTCTTATTGTAAATAGCACAGCTTAGTTATACATATTATATACATATTAAATATACATATAAATATACATATTATAATAAATTTTTAATTGAAGACTACAGTTAAATAAGATGGTAGGAATCAGACACAGACTTCCCTTGGAAATAAGCTACAGAAGTACAGATATATCTCTTGAGTATGCCAATTTATTCCTCACCTCCACTTTATTCCCTCCTTCTACAGATCAGAATGAAGAACAAAGTCTTGGTTCCAGTAACATTGCAGAATTAAGTCCAGGAGCAATAGATTCTTGCAGAAGTGACTATCAGACTGCTTTTAACAGCATGATGATGGAGCGTATGACCACTGATATTAATGCACTGAAAAAGCAATATTCCAGGATAAAGAAGAAGCAGCAGCAGCAGGTTCACCATGTGTATATCAGAGCAGGTAACACATCCAAAATGTGCTTCATTCCCTGATTTATTGCAAACTAACTTCATCAGGCAAATGACATTCTTTTACATTTAACCAAATAGACTAAATAAGAAAGACTGATGATATAACATTGTAGTAAATGATATAACATTAGTAGTAAAGTGGGTGCCGCTTCATGCAGGCAGAAAACAAGAAGGTGATATTTTTTCTTCTTTTGTCAGGATCTGAAGATGATGACCCTGGGGTATTCTTAGGTCCCAGGGACCAACCAAACAATGGTATTTAAAAGTGGCTTTGCTATCTGGGTGCATTGTGTTGATCTCGCTGATTAAAACAAGTCTTTGGCATTCTTAGGATTGACATACTGATGCACTGAAAAAATTAAATGCAGAGATGAGGATGCTTCAGATCATGTGGCAGGTGGACTCCTAGCTGGTCTGTATTATCTAAACTCCTCTGAATTCATCTGGGCACGGCAAATTATGCAACTGAAGGAACTGGATTAGATGTTCCTTTGTGGCTGGCAGTTTCCTTAGCCATAGTGATTCTGTTGCAAGCACTGAGCTGGACATCAGTCCCTTATTTAACAACCCATGTTATGGAGTATGTCACCCAAACTGTCAGACTCAGCAGTGCAAGGGTTGGCATGAAATGCATAGCTGAAGGTTTTACTGGGTGTGCAAGCTGAACACAGCCCACCCCACTCATTCCTCCTGCTTAGGTGTCATCCTTCTAAGTTCGCTATTGAAATTCACGATGCAAATGGGTCACTGTGGAGAATTGTTATTTCTCTTCTAGATTGTCTAAACCTGTGCTAGCAGGAGCATTGGAATACATGGAACTGCAATTTTTTATTTACGTGGTTTAGAAGGATTTTTCTAAAATATTAGTGAAGTGTTTGCTTTGAACAGAGGCCAGCAGAAACAGTGCAAACAGTAAAATGTTGATTTCCAAGGATGCCAACCCCTACCTTCCAAACACAAATCTTTCTAATCTTACTAATCATGATACAGGGCTGGGTTTGTCATTAATCAAACTGTCATCTAATCACTAATTCTGAGTCTACTCCTCTGGCTTAATAAGATGTGCTTTTATGCATTAATAGTACTTCAGTTTGTTTTCCATTTTTCAGTCACACAAGCCTCATGGAGAGGCTTGTGTGACTGACCTCATATGGAGACTGAATTGCCTCTTGCTGTTGGAAGAGAAGTGAAGGAGAGGGGAAGTATCAGAAGCCAATATTAATGTTCAACTATTATGGTTCAATTCCAAAAATCAAGAAGCTATTTTGTTTAATTATATATTTTCATGGTATTCCTGGCTTGGGGATTCCCCACAGGTGCAAAGCAGTGAGGGAGGGCAGAAAATCCTTATATAGAAGGTGCTGCTTTGTGTTCAACTCTAAGACATAAGTGAAATACAGTGATGATTGTTAAGTTTGGGGTTTTTTTTTTAATATATATTCTGTCCTACAGAGCTTTGCCATATCTCAAAAAAGGTATCAAATTTGGTGGTAGATCCTTAGAACATTAATTTGCTTTGTTCTTTAACAATACTGTGTTTCTTTTAAATGCTTTCTTTCAGACAAGGGGCCAGTTACCAGCCTCCTCCCTTCTCAGGTAAACCATTCCCCAGTGATAAACCACCTCCTTTTAGGAAAGAAGATGAAATTGAATAACAAGTCTCTCAAAAATGCTGTAATTCACATCCCAAGCCATGCTACGGGGAAGATGTCTCCCATTCCCCAAGAAGATCTTAAGACAAAACTGAACTCTCCGTGGCGCACTCACATACGAGTCCATCGGAAGAACATTGCTAGGGCCAAAGGCCAGCTGGGCTATGGAGATACTGTAGGACTGATAGATGAGCAGAGTGACAGCTGCAAAACAAATAGTCCTGGTGCAAAGGAGGAGGCTTCCAAACACTCTGACTTTGGAGAAAGAGAAGAAGGTGGTTTGGATGACAGGACTACTCGGAAAGCTGAGCAGCAGTCATCTGAGGCAGACTCTACGGACAGCGGTACAAACATGTCCACGGTTCAGCTAAAACTGGAAGCACTGGAACTCACCTCAGATACCCAAACTGATGTGGAGCCAACATCCCATCGGTCCAGCCAGCCACGTTTATCAGAGTCTTCCACTTCATCCAGAGACACTGGAAACCTGGCTAAATCACCCCAGCCTGGGAACCCAAAGCCACAAGTCTTCAATCCTTTTCCCAGTGTCAAGCCTCTTCGAAAGTCAGCCACAGCCAGGAATTTAGGGCTATATGGCCCCACTGAAAGAACACCAACAGTACACTTCCCACAAATGAGCAGAAGTTTCAATAAATCTTCCAGTGGCAGCAGCGGGACAAGGAAACGATGATGTGCTGGTACTCATTATTTCTGACAGCAACAAAAGAATTTGTATTGCCTTTTTTTTAATGTGTGCATGTGTATGTGTGTCCCAAAGCATTTCTAATTGCTAGTTAAGTAACAGGGACAAAAGTGGTTACCAGATATATAAATATGTGTCTTTGAAAATTGTACTTCCATGATGTTATGGGATAGATTAGTGAAGATGCACTCTGGCACCCTATTGTTAATTCTGATGGTCCTGTGCAAAAGAAACATTAATTTGCAATATGAAGAATACTGTTTCTTAAAGTCTAACTCAGACATTAAATCACCAGCTGCCTTTAACCCCTCAGACCCCATGGCTGCCTCCTGTCTATCTGAGCTCAATGGACCAATTGTTCATTGCAGCAGACAGGTGTAACAGTTTTTGTCACTGTTAAGCAGCTTCCCCATCCAACCTCATCATCATACTCTGGGAGTAGCTGGAGAAGCCACCACAAACAGAAGCACAAGCAGCCCTAGCAATCAAAAGTGTCACTTTGTGACATCTGGCTTCAGATATTTTTGAGCAGCATTTTGTGCTTCTCTTCCCACAGCAATTCTCTGCTGATACTTTTTTTAATATAAACCTAAACATTGAGCATGAGAACAGCAGACACAAATCCATCCACAACACAGGTTTGCTCTTTCTCTGTTACAGGTGTACATACATACATTTCTCTTACTTACTGCTGGAGAGTTGCAGCACTATAAAATTAGGAATTAGGTACAACTATTTGTATAGTTGTATGATTATTATTCTGACGCATCTTGGCTTCAATGGATTTAAAAGCTATTATCTAGATTAGACTTGTAGTTAAATAATATTTGCCAGCTTAGCAGTAGGTAAAATATATGAATGTTCCAAAGTAGTTTAGGGGTTTAAATTCTATAAATAGAGTGATTAGATACTTAGAGTGCCACTTCCCATTAAAAGCCAACACATCAGCCACTATGTCAGTGGGATGTGCCCCCGGGCTTCCATGTCTTGGTTCCTCTTTGGTGTGAAAGAAAGTGATAAACTGATATTTATTTCCAAATCAAATAGCAGAGCTGATAAATACTGTAAGACAAGTATTTATATGTATATAATAGAGCCAGACAGAGAAACTAAACTTACATCGTTCAACTTCAGGACTGCAAATTCAAGTACTCGAACTCCAAGAAATTCAGGTTGTTCTTAAATCATTGCAGCTCTGTCAGATGGTATGTACTGACTGTGATTCATTACCTTGATTCCAAGTTTCCTGTGGCATGAAAGGGCCAATATTTTAAACTGCAGTAATGATGAATCAGCACCATTGTATGTAATATCTTACTTGCTTTAAGAAATTCTTTGTTAAATTTGCAAATTAATATATATCATTGTCTATGAATGTATTCCATAACCTATAGTATGTGACACCAGATTGACTGTATACCATAACTTATAAGCTGTACAATATACTCTGTTCATTGTTGTGGGAACAGTTTTATTTTGCTGTTGTTTCATATAAGTGTATACATATAAAGTAATATACAACTATGAACACTATAATTATAAAACAGATGTAGGTCAGATCTTGCCCCTGCCTTATTTCCAGGATAGTAGTATTGTCACTAATGATTACTTACAGCACTAAGTAAATTTAAAATAATGTAGAATTAAGTCTCTGATTATTGACTGTATGTGAATTGTTTTTGCACTGAATTAGAAGAAATGGACTTTTCAAAAATTTTCCTGTGAATCATCCTCCCCAGTTTTTCTTAGCTTCAGTGTATCACACGGCTGTATGCTGAACTCATACAAATAAAAGGACTGTCAGTCTGTAAAACCTGCTAAAATGGTCCAAGTATGTGCATGGATTTTCAACATTTTATAAAGTAAGCAGTGGGAAATCAGTAAATTATGCATGGATATAGCTCTGGGGAAAGAACAACACATTCTAATGATTCAGAACTAATAGTAATTTACAAGTGTGCATTCAGGTCTTGGACTGTTAGGATTGAGGTGAAGGAACTACAGCTGCTCAGTGCATTAGTTTGATGATGCTTGCTGCAGGAAATTCTCTTAAAGTACTACTTGATGAGAAAATAGAGTGTCATGTTAGCTACCTCAAAGGTACATTTCTGTACCTCAAAGGATATTCACTCTCTACCTGAAATACTGTTGGAACATACAGCAAAAACAACTTCATTGCTTAGTACTGAGACAGAACATTAAGATGAGGTCCAGAGAACCAGGGAACTCCAGAGAAGTTTCCCATTATTTTTCCTTAAATAATCCCTTGAGAAAATGAGGTCTAGTGATGAAGGAAGTTGTGCTTGGAAGAGTGGCATCACAGCACTGAGGGTGCTGGGAAGTACAATGTTGGGAATCTGCTCCATAAACATTTTGTTCTCCTTGAGCCTTCTTGTTCCAATGGTCTCTTCCATGTGACCAAATGACATTTCTGTTTGGGGGTTTTTAAATTCCTAGAGTTCTGATTTTTGGAGTTTTTTTGGTGGTGTTTTTTGGTTTTGTTTTTTTTTTTTTTCCTTTGATTTTTTTTTTAAGGATTTTAATGGGATCATGTTGACTTTTACTTCTGAGCACGTGTTTCACCATCATCAAATGAAAGCTCTCAAAGGACAGGCATTTGATTCCATTTTGCAGACACTTACAGGTCTGCAAGTGGAAACAGGTCCACAGCTATTCAGAGATTATGAGAAATTGTCTATGCTTTGGGGGTAAAAATAGCAGATAGAAGACATAAGTTTTTCAGAATTGTTGTCAGCAAAAATTGGTTTCATCCACGACTGCAGCTATTGTGCAAATTCAATTTTGTGTAACTCACAAAAATCCTACCTCCATTCAAAGCAACCTAAGTGGTTACTAGAAAGGCAGCAAAACATTCTTTCATGCAAAAGTGAAATGCAGCCCTTTACATAGGTCTTTCCAACTCAGGTAAAAGCTCATTTTCAAAATTCAAGATTTAAAATCTGTATCAAACTTTCCCAACATCTATTTTAAACTGTGTGAAATATTTCATACAGAAATAAGGTGAGTGGTTTCACTGCACTGTAGTTTTCCTTGACCTTCCTTGCAAGGAGTTATCTTGTGCCCATCCATGGGCAGTAGTAGCACCTGGCTGAGTGGCAGGGAGCCAGTATCATCTGACAGCAGCTCCACTGAAGTATAAAGAGATAGAAAACTCATCCAAATGCATCCCTATCCTAGTCAATGCTTTGTTTGCTCCAGTTTTGCTTGTGTTTTATTGGTGAAAGATTCACTCAAGGCAGGGGGTTGTCCTAGAGGCCTGCTGGTGATTTGAGATGCACAGTCATGCCAGGCAAGCACCCTCAGGCAGTGTGCCATCAGCCAGCAGGGACTGGGGAGGTGACACTGATTTCTCAGGCAGCCAGAAGCTGCTCAGACACCTTTGCACACCTCTGTGTTAACAGTGGCCTTGGGAAGGTGGGCTCCTTTGTGGGAGGGGTGAATCCAGCGCACTGCAGGAAAATGCATGTGTGAAGGAAGGGTCTCCTCTCACACCCTTTCCCAATGAAGAGCCCTCAGGGCTTGCACTGGCTGATGGGCTGATATGAGATATTTGACACAGTTTAGGGCATAGAAGTGGTTTGCAGGGTCCAGACCATGCTCAGGCCCAGCCTCCCCCAGCCTGCAGGATGCCATCTCAGCTGTGCTTTGACCTACAAGCAGCACACAGCACTTGCTGGCTCACCACAGGTTTAAAAAGAACCACAAATGCTTCCAAGTCTTTTTCTGATAAAACTGTATCAAACCACACTGGTTTGCCACAAATAAGCAGGCAGGCGTGGTGGTGGCACCAGAGGCAATGCATAGGGATGGAGAGCTTGGGAGGAGGGAAGGATCGACTCGTCCAGGCAAAAGGTATAAGAAGTTCTGAGGGAAAGCAAACTCCTTGGTGCCTGTGTGGCTTTTTAGAGTTTTTAATTTTAAACAACAAATCCATGACATGCTGCTTCCTGCCCATCTTTGCTGTGTTCAAAGTGGTCATGGACTGGCCTGATGCACATCCTGCAATGGTGCTGTCCATCCACCTTGGTAGCCCAGTGGTTGCTCTGCCGTGGCAGGAGGGAGATGCCAGTGGAGAGCCCTCTGATGAGGTTCACTGTGGCTCACTTCACACTGAGCTATCTAAAAGGGCCTCCTCTCATGGATGTGTATGGGTTTTTGTTCTCACTTGTTGATTTTCTGATGTTTTATATTTGTTGGTGTCATAGGGAAATTTTTTGATCCTTTCGTCATTTTTTGAATACTGCATCAGGAAAGACAAATGCTTTCTGCATCTCAGGACTCAATAGTTTTGCAACTATTCCTCTCTGTTTGGCTTGTATTTTGCCTTTGTGAACTCCCAACCCTTGCTGGTATTCATTGTCTGGGTGTTTGATGAGAGTTTTCATGAAGATAAGGATAACCATGCTGATTGACTTAGCCCAGTGTCTTTTCTCTGGCAACTAATGGTTGGAAATGGCCACGAATGGAGTCCTGCAGGAACACAGCACATCTAGAGAATGGCAAGCCTTCCCTTGGGGCAGTCATCCAGTTTTGTCTGCGTTGAGTACACCACACAGAGGTGAGATGGATGTTGGGCCAGCAGCTCACCCACAGCAGCATGTTGATCTGGGCAGCTGTGTGCACAGCAGGGACCACAAACACAGGTTCATAAGCAGAATTTCCTCCTTCACATGGAAAGAATAATAATAATGGAGACATGGCCAAGAATGAAAAGAATAATAAACACCACAAAATGTGAACCTGAAGCAGCAGCTGTCATGGTGGTTCCTGCTTGGTGCTGGACTGCCTCTGTGGGCTCCACTTGAGCTTCCAAACTCATGGTGATTCCTCCCTCCCAGGGTGACTGGCCTCCCCTTGCAGGGGACATGACAAGGGACTTAGCTGGAGGGATCCTCCAAAGGGCCAGAAGGTGGGAATGGACTGGAAAGCCTCACAGGCCCTCAGAGGGTCAGACATGCTGAAAACCCCAGATCCAGTGCATCACACAGCCTGTTCAGTGATGAAGGGCTCATGGACAGTAGTTCCCAGCCAGGTTTCACCCCCTTTTAGGCACAAGCAGTGGTGTTGCTCTGCTCCTGCTGCTCACTGTCCATGATGGCTCCTCCACCTTGCTTTCCTTTTCTAACAGTTCCAGCTGCTGTAGATGACACATGGGTACAAACCCAGAGTGAAGGGCAGGTGCCAGTCTGTGCAGACACATCACAGCGACAGCTGTGGAAGGAAGATGTTCAGCCAGCAACAAGAAAGTAACTTTATTCTTACCAACAGTAGGAAAGGTCTCTAGCAACCACCCAGCATAGGCATAGAAGTCCAATGTTAAGACTTGGACAGGCCAAAGATTTACAACTCACCAGCAACCAGTCACAGGTGCTCAGGGAGAGGAGAGCTGAGTGGAACCTTACAATGTATGAACCAAAAAGAATGTCAGAAATTGTACAATTTTTTTTTCACCCAACTGTGACTTATAATTGCAGCTTCTCTTATTCTTCTAATGACATCTCTTAATGAAACTAGATTTCTTTTTTACTTTCTTTTTTCTTTTTTCATTTAATAAATGTAGGTCTATTGCTCTGTTTTATCTGCACCAATGTACAGACCTGATTGTCTTCTGCTTGTTCCCACACTACTTACATTAGGCATACATAATGCCCTTTTGAACTCTAAATTACTGTGTATGATAATTTTTATACTGTTTCCCCTGCACTGGTAAACTTTTCACCCAGTTACAACAATACTGTTCAGTCTGGCCTCCAGTGCTCTTGGAGAAGAGGCCTTTCTCCAGAGGGAACAAAAGGACTCTTGTCTGCTTGGCAGAGGGCCAGGTGACTCGGTGCTGCTGGACACGTTCTCTGTGCCCAGCAGCCAGTGCTGAGTCACTGATTTCTGTCCAGACTGGAAAGTGTTTGTTCCACAAAGTGTTTGTTGCTGAAGAGGTGCTGCTTCTGCCATCGTGGCAGAGGCAAGTTGTGCCACACTGCTGCTGAACCTCCAGGCTGCTGTGGCAGACAGAGCTGGGGAGGATTTCACTATTGCAGCTGGCAAGACACGATAGCATCTTCTGTAAATGTGCTACAGCGTCTGGCCACAGAGCTGCAGTACTGCTGCTGGAGGTTAGAGCAGGTTTGCAGCCACCAGCAGCAGCAGGGCAGTGATGTGTGCTCTGGCCCTGTCTGCACTGTGGCTGTCTGCGCTCACACCCATTCGAGGGGATGGATCTTCTAGGTACGGTCACTAGGTGCCACTGGTGCTCCATGCAAACACAACTGCTGCAATTCCTCAGAAAGGAAATACAGCCATCGCTTAGTGTTTTCGATTTTTATTCCTTTTCAATCAGATGTGAAGCAGACTTTCTAGTCTGTTTGCCTTTGGTTTCATATTGCAACCCCTCTGCTCTATTTGGCTTCTCTTAGTAAGCTTGCTAACCTTGCCCAGTGATCCCAAAGCACAGAGACATCCTAACAGTGTGTCTTTGGAAACAGTGCCCATAGCAAGACTCTAAAATGCTCTAAAGGCTCTTTCTCAGTCAGAAGTATAATAAACTTCTCTTTGGTGAAAGAGCCATCAAACTGAATTCCAGTTGAAGGCAGATGAAAGAAGCCTGTTGGATTCACTGAGTTGAAACCTATTTTATGAGTGAACCAGCAATGACAACCAGTTCCTGCCAGTCACAAGTCAGCTGAGGTATTTTATTATAAATACTGGAGTTAAGCTGTTCCAAAGGCTGAAAGAAAAACCCCACCTTTTGGTCAAACTTCTGTAAAAAATAACCGAAACAAAATATAGCTGTATTGATAAACTCCTC